ACTTTTCAAATATTTTAAAATAACCTAATCATGAACACAATTATGATTTTTAACTTGTTTGACCTTAGTCTTTAAGGAAACGATATCTTTATACTATTTGCGATTCATGCACCTGCGGCTAAGCTAAATGGCGAACGATTGCCAAATCCATTAGTAAAATTTTTGCAACAGAAGGAGTAACAATTCCAACAAATCCATTACAACAATGAATCTTGAAACGAAGATCGAAGCAACCCCATTTCTGGCTTTAGGTGCTTCTCATTTTTATTCCATCAATTTATTTCAGTCAATAAAATCAGCAACCAGAGATTTTGAACCAAAACCACCAAACCGAAAACCTTTATTTCCTCCTTCTCACAATAATATTTCAATTAACAGTCTAAAACAGCACCTATCAGGATTGCATATGGTTGATGAGATTGAGTTCAAAGTCACTCAAACTTTCCTTGGATATTCATTTAATCTTGAATAAAAAATGAAGCCTACAGAGGATCTTGCCATGAAAATCAAGAACACCGTGGAGATCATCTCCTTTGAACCGAAGAAAGACGCTAACCGTGATAAAAAGCTAGGTGATAACTCTCCATTTTTAGCATATTTAAAGAGTTTTTTGTGAATATTTGGAGAGTTATTAATACAATTTTGGGAGGTTTTTAAGTGTTAATTTGAGAAATCAATTTGGAGCATTAATTGAGGGATTTCTTTGTAAATATCTTAGTTTTAAATAAATAAAAGTGGTTGTGGAAAAATAAAAATAGATACATGTATAATTAGGTACATAATACTAACAAGCCAATTACACACATACATGTATTCAAAACTCATTTATGTGAACTTTTAATCACATAAGTCCAATCCCAATAAAGTAAGATTAACTAAAAGCCAACGTCGTTAACCTTATGGCCGACACACACATACACGCATATATCTTCCCATTTCATAACTTTTACTCCATCCTTCTGGAAGCCTCAAAAACACTTTTAATCTTCCTCTTACTTGCTTAAGGCTATTGATTTTATTTTATTAAACCTTTGCATATACTTAGCTCCTGTCTAAAAGAACCCAATAATAATTCCCAAATTTCTCCACTAAGACTCATTCTTAATTCAGTCATTCATTATTATCATTTTAATATCGTATTTATTTGATCTCTTATGATGAACACTTGACTATCTTCAAGCCAAATCCATTCTAATGCCTCCAAGGTAATTTATAACCTTTAATCATTAATCTTTAACAATTGAATCAATCCTTCCTTATTTCTAAAATACCTTTAATCTATAACTCTACAATCCAATGTCAAATTAACTTCAATAGAAATACCTAACTACCATTTTAAACCTTCAACATTTACATATCTATTCCCTTCAAGGTATTACCTCAAACAACTATGTAATTTTCTCATCTTTTAACTTCCATTTGTTAAATCTCTAACTTCGTCCTTAATTTATAACTCTATCCTTAATATAGTTCTAACCTCAGCATCATTCCATCTTTCCTTGTAGCTTATAGTCCTTCTTCAACATCTCTTTACAACTTAACACCTAAAATCATTATTGATATCTTTTATATGGGTTTTGTCAACTTAATTAGTCCCTTTTGACCTTAATTGATTGATTAATTGATTTAATATGTTTTATTTTGAATTATTATTTTATAGGGGCAAAATTGTCATATTTTAGTTTAATTGTGACTAATTGATTTTTGAGGACAATTAATGCTACCTTATCTTTGAATTTTTGCTTGCAAGTTTTTGGAAGATTTTGAAAATAAAAATAAAAATAAAAAAATAAAAAAAAGAAAAGAAAAAAATAAATTAAAAAAAAGAAATAAAATAAAATAAAATAATAAAAGGGGGGAGCAAAACGCTACGTTTTGCTCCACCCCTAATATCTAATATTACATTCATCATCAGGGGGACCCGGAAGCGAAACACACGAGCGGAAAAAAAACACAAGACGCCTAGCGAGCTTGGGGGCGGCGGAGAAAATAAAAAGAAAATAGAGCAGAGACCCATGAGCTGGAGGCGGCGAACGAAGAGAGGGGACCATTCATCATCTTCTCCGTTGAATCTTTCTAGTGGCAGAGAGAATCAGCGACGGGGGACGTGAACCAGCAGCACAACAGAACAGAGAGACAACAGCTTGAACTGAGACGTGAGCAGAAAAGGGGCGACACGAGCTCGACGAACCAATGAACCAAAAGGAGTGAAACAGCAAAACAGAGGCTCACGGTGTCATCCTTAATCATCTTTTGCACTGTTCCGTCACGTATCTTCCATGGCAAACCGCAAAAGAGCATTGATTGTGGCATTTTTCATGGCTATGCGTGGCTAGAGCTCTGAAATCCTCTAATTCAACAATAATGGCAGGAGCTCGGATCATCAAAGGGGAGTTTTAGTTGCTTTAATTTCCTGTCTAATAATTGTTTAACAATTCCTAGATCTTAGGATAGTCATTCTAATTATTGGAAAATTTTGTATTGTTAAATCTAATTATCTTTGGAGATTATTGTGACTGAATTATTGCTTAGCATTTGACATTGGGCTGTTTATAGCTTTGATTTCAATTATAATGTTGTGGTTATGACATTCGTCTTGATTTTGGAGTTAATATATTGTGATTTTCTAAGTTGGCTTGGAATTTTGGATCCTATTGTCTCTTACTAGCTTTAATTATGTTATTTTAGATTTAAGAGTTCTAATTAAGCATTGGTTTTTAGCATCCTTAATCCCATTTTACTATTCTGGTTGTAGTTAGTAAGTTGGAATTTTAGGAAAATATTTTGTGACAACTCGAGGTGGCTTGGTTGTTGGATTAAAAGCTTAATTATAATTCTTAATTCATTGTTTTTAACTCTCACATCTTTTAGAGTGATGATTGCCTGTGTTGTTGAATTGGAGGATTGATTATTATCATTGTTACTTGTGTGTCTCATTTTCATTTCTTTAATCTTCATTCATTTTAATCACTTTTATATAAAAACAAAAAAAAGTATTTTAATTTCAATTTGATTCGTAGTATTTAATTAACAGTTTTTCAAAATAAAAAAATCTCTTTTTATAGTTTAGGTTACTTGCATTTATTTACTAGGATTTAATTTCATTTTCGGCTCCTCAAAGTGAATACGACCCGGATTGTGCACTATATTGTATTAATTCGGTTAATTTTTGGAGTAACCCCAAAGCAACAAATTAAGGGCAGTTAACTTCAAGTGGCGCCGTTGTCGGGGAGCCAAGAAATTGGTTCCTAGTAATTAAGTGTCAAGTAGCCTTGATTGGGGTTCATTTGTTGAGCCTTCTTAGTTTTCATTTTTCTCAGTTTTTGCATTTTCTTTACTAGTTTGCATTTGTTTCTTTTGATTTTTCATAGCATTTCTTTCCTTTGTATAGAAAAAAAAAATAAAAAACACAACTAAATATCTTGATTTTTCATTCATTGCATTTTTCATTCTCATACACATACACTTTCATTGCATTGCATTCATCTGTTTTCTTTTGCTTAATTGCTTCTGGTTGATTGATTGTTTATGCCAATAAAGGGTAAGTCTAAAACCCTAGTTCCTTCCAATCTTGAGCTTCAAAGTTCTTTAAGGGAAGTTAGACAAGACCAAAGGGTAGAAAGGACTAGTGAGGTTGAACTAGACAATTTAACTGATCTAGATTTGGTGGTTGACTTAGGTGACATAATGGAAACCGTTAATAATCCTAATGGTAACAACAATAGTGGTAATGACAGAGGGGGCAATGGACATAATGGGGAGCATGATAGAGTAGGAGAGAATAATGGAGATAACCCTAGAAGAAGAACCATTAGGGAAGCCACTACTTCTGATGCAAATTATGATCCTTTTAATGTTGCATGCCCTAATGTTGATGTTAATTTTGAGATTAAAGGTCCGCTGCTTAATTCTTTGCCTAAATTCTATGGTTTGACAGGTGAGGACCCGTACAATCATCTGAAATCTCTCTCTATGGTATGCGCTAGCATGAAGCCGGTTGGAGCTAATCTGGATGAGGTTCTTTGGAAGGTATTCCACTTGTCTCTGGAGGGCAAAGCGCGAGAATGGTACACGAGCTTGCCTAGGCATATGGCAGATGCCTACCATAACTGGAACAACCTCAGAAAAGCATTCTTGGAGAAGTATTTCCCTGCTTCCCGGACTTCCACATTGAGAAAAGAGATCTACTCTGCGAAGCAAGACTATGATGAGTCACTTTATGACTACTGGAACCGTTTTCAGGATTTGCTTTCTAGATGTCCACACCATCAGATTCCAGATGAGCAGTTAGTCCAATACTTTTATGATGGACTTAAGACCCAAGATAAGGGGATGTTGGATGCTGCTTTTGGGGGTTCTCTCATTGATTTAACTGCTGAGGAGGCATGAGAACTTATCAAGAAAATGGCATTGAACCATCAACAGTATAGCATCAGGGAGTCTAAAAATGTCAATGCAATGCATGCTAATCCTTCTTCAGTCCACATTCCTCAATTGGACATATTCACTTCTCAAATTGCTGCTTTGACTACACAGTTGAATAAGCTTGCATCTCATACTCCCCCTACTGACACTCGGAATCCTAATTCCATAAAGATGACTGCACCTAGTTGTGAGCATTGTAACTCTGTTATGCACATCTCTACTGCTTGCCCTCATAGATATGAGGAAGTTTCCGCCATGTATCAAGGAAGGGTCAATCAATCTAAGCAATGGAACCCATACTCAAACACATATAATGAAGGATGGAAAGCTCATCCAAATTTCTGATGGGGAGGAGGTGACAATAGGCAGGTTCAAGAGGGGTTTCAAGGGAATATGGTTCCTCAATGGCAATCTTACTATGGAGGGTTATAAGGAGAATCTTCTAGAGCCATGTCTACCCCACAGCAATCACAGTCTAAGGATGATGAGCGGTTCTCTCGGATACTCAAGGGCATCGAGGCAATGACTAAGCACATATCTAAGTCTGAAGCTAAATCTGAAGCTAGATTTGCAACCCTAGAGAATAGGATGGAGCAATGGGAAACTAGAACCTCTAATTTGACTTCTTATGTCACTAAGTTGTCAAATGGTATGAGTGAACAGCAAGCTAAGGCTAGTGGTTCAATGTCTTCCAACACGGTGATAAATCCTAAATCTTTGAATGCAATTACATTGAGAAGAGGTAAGGAAATTGGTGCTAAGACAGTGCAATTCAAAGATGATGAAGAGGGTGAAGAACCGGTTGACAAAGAGATAGAAGTTGAGTCTTGTTAGAATCGAAGAATTAATTGCAACAGATTTCCTAGCCGTTAGAATCTTATCACTAATTATATGCTCTTTCCTTATTTGTAGACCTAGAATCATGGGTATTAAATATAGATTGATTACCCATTATTACCTATTATTATTTCCATTTAATATGATCAGATTTCATGCCCTCTATAAGAAATCTGATCCCTATTTATGTAATATAGCAATCAGTGGAATAAGATACAGAAATATTCAGTTCTTTCCGATATGGTATCAGAGCTTTCGGAAAGAGAAAATGAACAGTGATGAGTTCCCACTACTCCTCTCTGGACGTCAACCGAGCCAGGCACAGAAAGGGCCAAATTCGATCGCCCTAATGGCCGGATCATCTCCAACCAGTGAGTCGAAATCGACTCACTCCAACCCAACGTCCACTGAGACGAACACGACCCTCCAGGGAGCAACCATGGCCCCAGAACTCACCGCTGCAAATGAAAATCAACAAACCGTGATAGCGCACAAGCTCAACGGAAGTAACTACCTCCAGTGGTCACAAAGTGTCCTAATGTACCTCCGCGGAAGACGCAAAGAGAAGTATATCAATGGTCAGGCACCACAACCAGCCTCGGATGATCCAAAATTTGATACTTGGTTTGCCGAGAACAATCAAGTGATGACCTGGCTGTGCAATTCCATGACACTGGAAATCAGTGAAGGCTACCTATTAGCGCAGACAGCCCAGGAAATATGGAATGCAGCCAAACGAACCTATTCTTCTATGGACAACACTGCAGCACTGTTTCAACTAAAGAAACAACTTAGAGAACTCAAACAAGGTACTTTAACGGTAACCCAATACTATAGCTCTCTTATGAGAATATGGCAACAATTAGATTTGTTTGAAGTTCACTCATGGAAATGTTTAGATGATACTCAGTATTACAAAAAGCTAGTTGAAACAGAGAGAACCTATGAGTTCTTGTTAGGACTCAATGACACATTTGAAGAAGTAAGGGGCAGAATCATGGGTCTTAAGCCCATACCCTCACTTTTCGAAGCCTTTAATATGGTGAAATGTGAGGAAAGCAGAAAACAACTCACTCAAACTCCAGTGACCCAAAATGAAGCTTCTGCAATGGCTGTCAAAAGTGGAAACACCACAGACCAGAAACGAAAAGGTGACAAATGGTGTGAACACTGTAACAAAAGAGGTCACACCAAGGAGATTTGCTGGAAGCTGCATGGGAAACCTTCCAATCTGAACAGCAGACAAAGAAATGAAAGAAAAAGCTACCATACAGAGAAGAAGGAGGAAGAGGAAGAGAAATTAAGTCCAGAAGAGGTTCAGCTATTGAGGCGAATTCTGGAAAAACAGACCAGTACTCCAAATGTTAACCTAGTAAAATCAGGTAACTCTATAATTGCCCTAAATGCTATGGTGACTAGTGATGATGTATGGATTGTTGATTCTGGGGCCTCAGATCACATGACTGGTAACAAATCTCTGTTTAGCAATATTAAACTCTGTCATGAAAACTTGAAAGTAAAAGTAGCAAATGGAATTAGTGCTAAAGTGTGTGGATTAGGAACTGTTGAATTAACTGACTACTTGACCATACATAATGTGTTATATGTGCCAGAGCTCACTTGCAATCTCATTTCTGTAAGCAAACTGACCAAAGGTCAGATTTGTCATGTCCTATTTGATGACAGTGGCTGTATTTTTCAGGATTTAGCCTCGGGGAGGATGATTGGCAAGGCTAAAGAGTGGGATGGACTTTACTACTTCCACAAGAACAATAAGGAAACACACCAAGCTATGGTTAGCCACAACACACAAAATAGAGATATTTTACTGTGGCATCATAGGTTAGGCCACCCTAGCTTTGATTATATGAAGCACTTGTTTCCACATCTCTTTAATAAAGAAAGCTCTATTTCTCTTACCTGTGATACTTGTCAATTTGCCAAACAAACCAGAACCACCTACTCAAAACAACCATACAGACCCACTGCCCCCTTCACACTTATTCATAGTGACATATGGGGTCCAGCTAAGACAAGGACCCTCTCTAATGCTCGCTGGTTTGTTACTTTTATTGATGATCACACACGAATGACTTGGATCTTTTTATTAAAGGAAAAATCTGAGGTTTTCGAAACATTCAAAAAAATTTTTATGTTTGTGAAAAATCAATTTCAAACCACAATCAAAGTTCTTAGAAGTGATAATGCAAAAGAATATTTAAGCAAGGCCTTCAAAGAGTTTCTCGAACAACAAGGAATACATCACCAAACATCATGTGTCTATACCCCACAGCAAAATGGAGTGGCTGAAAGGAAAAATAGGCATATCTTAAGAGGTAACCCGTGCTATTATGTTAGAAAAAAATGTCCCCAATCTGTTTTGGGGAGATGCAGTATTAACATCAGCTTATCTCATAAATAGAGTACCCTCCAAAGTCATAGACTTTAAAACACCAGTACAAAAATTACTTGAACATCACCCAAATTCTCCTCTAATAAATCAGTTACCTCCTAAAATTTTTGGGTGTGTTGTGTTTGTGTACAGAAATGAAGGCAAACTCAACTCTAGGGCCGAAAAATGCATTTCCTAGGCTACTCTCCAACCCAAAAGGGATATAAATGCTACTCTCCCTCTACCAAAACGGTCCACATCATAAAGAATGTTGTGTTTTATGAAGATGATGCTTATTACCCTAAATTACCCATTCAGGGGGAGAACTATGGAGCTGCAGAATGGCTAATCCAAGAACCAGTGACACCCAACAGAACTGAAGAGACACCAAACAGACCTGAAACAATATCAGCAACACCAAACAGACCTGAAAAGACAACAAACAGACCTAAAATATCGACAACCAGACTTGAAACAACACTAGAAGAAATACCAAACAGAATTGAAACAATATCTGATACAGTAGAAGCACCTCAAGACAGTAATGAAACTTCACAAAACTCAAACCACAACCACAACGAAGATGAACATACTCTTGAGAATCAAGAATTAAATAACAACAATTACTCTAATGGAGAATTAGAAGAAAACTCTCCCACTACAAGGCATGACCATGACTCCAATCCAAGGTCAGATCTTGAAGAAATGGGATGGCCAATCGCCCTAAGAAAGGGAGTCAGATCCTGCACCCAACATCCCATCCAAAGGTTTGTTTCTTATGGTAATTTGTCAACCAGAATGCAAAACTTTATTGCTAACAGTGCGCAGGTAAAGACACCAAAACTTTCCAGCAAGCTATGGCTAGCCAGGGATGGAGAAAAGCTATGGAAGAAGAACTGAGAGCCCTTAATGAAAACCGGACGTGGGATATCACCACATTACCACCAGGAAAGAAGGTAGTGGGATGCAAGTGGGTGTTCACTCCAAAGTACAACCCTGACGGAAGCCTGAACAAGTATAAGGCCAGGCTAGTAGCAAAAGGGTACACCCAGACCTATGGAATAGACTATCAAGAAACCTTTGCTCCAGTAGCCAAATTCAACTCTATCAAAATCCTACTCTCGGTGGCTGCCAATCTGGACTGGCCTCTACATCAACTAGACGTGAAGAATGCCTTCCTAAATGGAGACTTGGAGGAGGAAGTGTTTATGGAGAAGGGGTACAAAGACCTGAAAATGCCACTAAAGTGTGCAAACTCAGAAAAGCTCTATATGGGCTAAAAAAATCCCCAAGGGCTTGGTTTGACAGATTTGCAAAGGCGTTGAGAAGGATTGGATACTCACAAGGCCAAGCTGATCACACCCTATTCGTAAGACACAGAAATAAAGGGGTCACCATCCTTATTGTCTACGTGGATGACATTGTGATCACAGGGAACGATGAAGAGTCAATAGGATCCCTAAAGAAGGCTCTTGCAAATGAATTCCAAGTAAAAGACCTTGGGCAAATGAGATACTTCCTAGGCATAGAAGTGGCTAGAACTAAGAAAGGAATTAATGTATCCCAACGGAAATATACACTGGACCTTCTCTACGAAACAGGAATGCTTGGAGCTGCACCAAGCGACACCCCGATGGAAACCTCGTGCAATTTAGAAGTCAAGTTAAATGCTACTCCAGTTGACTCTGAAAAATACAGGAGACTAGTAGGGAAACTAATCTACTTGACCCATACACGTCCGGACATAAGTTATGCAGTAGGAGTAGTTAGTCAATTCATGCACCAACCCCAAGAAGAACACATGGATGCAGTTCTCAGAATTCTAAGCTACCTAAAACTCAATCCAGGAAAGGGTATCTTCTTTGAAAAGAACAGGAAGAGAAACATAGAAGTTTACACAGATGCTGACCATGGAAGATCCCTAGAGAATAGGAGGTCCACTACAGGATATTGTACCTATGTGTGGGGCAACTTGGTAACATGGAGAAGCAAGAAACAGCATGTGGTGTCAAGAAGCAGTGCTGAGTCAGAGTTGAGAGCTGTAGCCCTTGGTGTATGTGAAGGGATATGGATCACTAGACTCTTAAAGGAACTGAAAATCACCTATGAAGGACCATTACATTTATGGTGTGACAACAAGGCGAGTATAGAAATGACCAAGAATCCCGTCTATCATGATAGAACCAAACATGTGGAAATTGACAGACACTTCATTAAAGAGAAAGTAGAAGAGGGCATCATAAATTTGTCTTACATCAGGTCATCAAGCCAAATTGCTGATATAATGACAAAACCCCTAGCTAGAGTCCAGTTTGAAAATCTTCGAAGCAAGCTGGGGATGCTAGATATTTACTCTCCAGCTTGAGGGGGAGTGTTAGAATCGAAGAATTGATTGCAACAGATTTCCTAGCCGTTAGAATCTTATCACTAATTATATGCTCTTTCCTTATTTGTAGACCTAGAATCATGGGTATTAAATATAGATTGATTACCCATTATTACCCATTATTATTTCCATTTAATATGATCAGATTTCATGCCCTCTGTAAGAAATCTGATCCCTATTTATGTAATATAGCAATCAGTGGAATAAGATACAGAAATATTCAGTTCTTTCTGATAAGTCTGCTCCTTCTAAAACCACTCAAGACATTCTCAAGACTACTCAAGAGACCTCCATTCAATCCAAAGGGCCAATAGAGAAAGGATCATCTTCCAAAGGTGATGAGGTAAACATTTCTGACTTGCCTTTTCCTCATTCATATCTCATGAGTAAGAAAGTTGTTGAAAAGAAAGATAATGATGAGCTTTTTGAAATGTTTAGCAAACTTGAGGTTAATGTGCCATTACTTGATTTGATTAAGAAGATGCCTAAGTGTGCTAAGTTTCTGAAAGATCTATGTACAAACAAGAGGAAGTATAGGCATAGTGAGAGAATCCAACTAGGGTCTAGTGTTAGTGCTATCTTCAAGCCACAGCTACCTATTAAGTGTAAAGACCCAGGTTCCTACACTATTCCCTGTACTATAGGCAAAACAAACATTTCACATGCCTTACTAGACTTAGGTGCAGCCATAAATGTTATGCCTACCTCTATCTACGAGAGTTTAGGTATCCATGCCTTGAAAGACACCAGTGTTGTGCTAGGTCTAGCTGATAGGACTGTGAAACATCCTAAGGGCTTTCTTGAGGACGTTCTTGTGCAAGTGAAGGGTCTTGTGTTCCCAGCTGACTTTTATGTGCTAGATATGACTGATGAGATTAAAGCCGATAGCACTTTGATTCTAGGAAGACCTTTTCTTAGAACAGTCCAAACCATAATTAATGTGAAAGACGGGGTCATTACCATGGGCTTTGGGGACCAACAGATTACCTTCAACATTTCTGATGCTATGAGTCAAGGTTATGCAGATTGCTCTTACTTGGGTGTTAATTTGATTGATTGTGCTGTTGATGATGTTGATGATTCACATGAATCTGAGATGCATGAACATGACTGGTATGGTGAGATTGTTGAGCATGATGATGCATTTACTTATTTATCTACCCCTCATTCTTCTTCTTTTTGCTCATGTTAGGGTGACGTGGTGTGTGTTAACTGTTTAGAAGTTGATCACCTCCTTTCCATTTCTCATGATTTTGATGCATCATCTTGTCTTAACTGTGATTCTGCCTTGAACATTACACTTGATGATAGCCTTGAGAAAGGCGAGTTTGTTGATTCTGTAGGTACTGATGATAAAGGAGCTATTACACAAGCTACACTGGTAGCTTCTCCTTTAAGTGGTGCTGGAACATTAGAAGAGGCTAGCAACAAGCTTGCTACTGACTTAGTCACTTCTAATCCCACTCTTTCTTGTGATTTACTTGATGTTTCTGTTGATAAAATTGATACCGATCCTTCTTTTTGTAGGTCATCCAAGAATGGCACTGAGTTGGGAAGTGGAGGACATACACATCATGATGAGCTTATATCTCCTTCCCCAAGCCATATGGACATGCCGCTTGCATTGAATGCACTTAACATAAAAGAATTAGTTCCTTCTATTGTGCAACCTCCTGATTTAGAGCTGAAACCCCTCCCCTTAATTTGAAATATGTCTTTCTTGCTGCTGATTCTAAATTGCCTGTTATTATTTCTAGTTCTTTGAATAGTTCTGAAGAAGAAAGATTGATTTCTGTGTTGAAGAGTCATAAGGGGGCTATAGGATGGTCTTTAGGGGATATTCCAGGAATTAATCCATCAGTTTGCACACACAGGATCCTTTTGAATGAAGGGTCCAAGCCAGTTAGGCAACCATAGAGGAGATTGAATCCTCTCATTCTGGATGTGGTTAAGAAAGAAGTCTCAAAGTTGTTGAGTACTGGGATCATCAATCCCATATCAGATAGCGAGTGGGTAAGTCCGGTACAGGTAGTACCAAAGAAGAGCGGTATCACAGTAGTGAGAAATGAAAATGATGAACTGATTCCAACTAGAGTTCAAAATGCTTTGAGAGTGTGTATAGACTATAGGAAGTTGAATGATGCTACGAGAAAGGACCACTTTCCATTACCTTTCATAGATCAGATGTTGGAGAGAATTTCAGGAAAGTCTCACTATTGTTTTCTTGACGGTTTTTCTGGCTATTTTCAGGTGCCTATCACTCCTGAAGATCAGGACAAGACTACCTTCACATGCCCTTTTGGTACCTTTGCTTATCGAAGGATGCCATTTGGGTTGTGTAACGCTCCAGGCACCTTTCAAAGGTGCATGATGGCGATATTTAGTGATCTTCTAGAGCAGAACATGGAGGTTTTTATGGATGACTTCACTGTTTACTGTGAGAGTTTTGATGAGTGCTTGAATAGCCTAGAGCAGGCTCTTGAGAGGTGTATCGATAAGGAATTGGTTTTAAACTTTGAAAAGTGTCATTTCATGGTTGATAGAGGGATAGTCTTAGGTCACCTCATCTCTAAAAAGGGGATTGAGGTTGATAGGGCCAAAATTGAAGTTATTTCATTCCTTCCTTATCCTACTTGTTTAAAGGATTTGAGGTCTTTCTTAGGGCATGCAGGTTTTTATCGGCGCTTTATTAAGGATTTTAGTAAAGTTGCTTTGCCTCTTTCTACCTTGTTGAAAAAAGACGTTGAATTTAAATTTGATGATGAGTGTAGGCATGCTTTTGACACTTTGAAATCTATGCTTGTTTCACCTCTTATTCTCACTGCACCTAACTAGAATTTACATTTTGAGTTGTCTTGTGATGCTTCTAACTTTGCAGTAGGTGCCATGCTTGGACAGAGGGAGGAGAAACAGTCTAGAGTCATCACATATGCCTCCAAGACGCTTGATTCTGCTCAAGTGAATTATACCACCACAGAGAAGGAACTGTTTGCTATTATTTTTGCTTTGGATAAGTTTAGACAATATCTAATAAACTCTCGAGTGGTTGTTTTTACAGATTATGCAGCGGTTCGGTACCTATTTAAGAAGCCTCAGTCTAAACCTAGACTACTGAGATGGGCTTTGCTGCTACAGGAGTTTGATATCGAGATTAGAGATAGAGCCGGAGCGGAGAATCATGTAGCTAACCACCTTAGCCGGTTACCTGAAGGCACACAGGGAGTTGACTCTTCTAATCTTGTCATTGACTTATTTCCTGATTCTGCACTTTTTGCCTTGGCTGTTCATGAGCCTTGGTACTCTAATATAGTTAATTATCTTGTCACTGACCTTATACCTCCTTCTATGTCTAAATTTCAGATTGATAAGCTGAAGAAGGAGGCAAGATACTATATCTGGGATGCTCTAATCCTGTGGAAGCAATGCAGTGACCAGATCATTAGACGCTGTGTTCCAAATAATGAGATCCACTCTATCCTTACCTTTGCACATTCTTTATCTTGTGGGGGGCATTTTAGTGCCAATAGGACTACTAGGAGGGTTTTAGAGTGTGGTTTTTATTGGCCTTCTCTATTTAAGGATGCTTATTCTTTTTGCAAGTCTTGTGATAAGTGTCAGAGGTTTGGGAATTTGGGTAGGAAGCATGAGATGTCTCTAAGACCTATGTATTTTTGTAAAATCTTTGATGTGTGGGGCATGGATTTTATGGGTCCCTTCCCTTCGTCTTTTAGGTTTTCATACATATTACTTGCAGTAGATTATGTGTCTTGATGGGTAGAGGCAGTGCCAACTAGAAAAGATGATGCTTCTACTGTTGCCAAGTTTTTACGTTCTCATATCTTTTACAGGTATGGCATTCCAAGAGCAATCATCAGTGACCAAGGAACACACTTCTGCAATAGGACCATCAAGTCTCTATTGGCTAAACACGGAGTCAATCACAAGCTGGCCACTCATTATCACCCTCAGACGAATGGGTTAGCTGAAGTCTCTAACCGGGAAGTGAAACGAATACTTGAGAAGATCGTGAAACCATCTCATAAGAACTGTAGTGAAAGGCTTGAGGAAGCTCTTTGGGCTTACAGGACTGCCTACAAGACCCCTATAGGCATGTCCCCCTTTCGGTTGCTCTATGGCAAGGCTTGCCATCTACCTATAGAGATCGAGCACAAATCTTATTGGGCAATCAAGGCATGTGATGCAGATCTCGAATCTTCACTAGTCAATCGGAAGATGCAGCTCCAAGAACTTAAAGAAATGAGACTTGAATCCTATGACAATGCCAGAATCTACAAAGACAAGCTGAAAATGATTCATGACAAACAAATTCTGAGGAAGCAATTTTATGAAGGTGACAAGGTTTTGAAGTTTAAAGCCCGGTTGAAGCTGATGCCTGGGAAGTTTGTCACCAAGTGGGAAGGTCCGTTTAGAGTTACTAAAGTATATCCCTTTGGCATGGTAGAGCTCGTAGATAAGGAAACCGGTATAACTTCACAAGTCAATAGCCATCTGCTGAAGCACTACCACGAGGATCAAAGACCCCCCTGATCACCCGGTTGTTCCCTTCCACCCTACTCTTTTACTTTCTGTTGTATTGCTGGTGATATCTGTTTGTTGAGATAGTTAAAGAGTGTGGGGGAGGGAATTTTTCCAGTAGTTGTAGTTGTAGTTGTAGCTGTTTATTTCTGTTTAGTAGTTGTGTGTCTTGTTTCCTCTTGATTCTACCATCTCTTTTGATCACTTGGTTTATACTTGTCTATTTTCATTTCACATTATCTTATCCTACCTCTCCCTTCTCTCTTCTTCGTGATAGTGACGTGTTGTGCTTCGATTTCAAATCAGACTTCACAACTTCCACTTCACTCGAGAGTTTAGGTTAAGATAATGTTGTTTTTCTTACATTGAGGACAATGTATTGATCAAGTGTGGGGGAGGGATTGTTGTTGAGTTGTTGAGCTATTTTAAAAAAAAATTTCACCTTTGGATTTGCTCCTGTTTCCTAAGTATTGTTGCTATAATTGCTCTCTTCTCTGCCTTATTGGTTGATTTCTGAATTGCATCGCATGATTTGAGTGATTCTTGCTTGGGAATTTTGCTGTTGGTTTCTTTGTCCTCTTGTTTTCATTCGCCTCAATGTTCTGCATTGCTGTATGGGCGAGTTGCTGTTTTTCTCTATTGCTGAATTTTGACTTTTGTAATCCTTGAGCATCTCTTTTAAAATCCTTTTGCACAATGCTTGTGAATATTGCACGGCTGAGTTTGATTGCATTTGATTTGAGTGATTTCTATTCTTAGTTGATTAGCATAGTAGAATACTTTTGGTGCAGTGTTATTTACCCTGTTTCACAGCTTGATCTTTAAGGAAGAAACCTCTTGGAGAAAGCCTTGATGGAAGGATTGTTGAGCCATATATTCTTTCTCATCTTGTGTGATTTTCACCTAGTTTTGGTTAACCTCTAGAACTTGTTTAGATTCTTTTTCAAAGCTGTATTAATACCTAGATTTGTGAAGATGATAGGGGCATTCATTTCTAAACCTTTACCCAAACACAAACCACTTCATTTAACCTTTGTTCACCCCTTTGAGCCTTCACTTTCATTCCATTCATTTTTTTTAGCAAGTTTTTTGCATGAGTTACATTTGGTTTTTCATTTTGAAAAGTACATCATTAATGTCTATATCTTTTCCTTCTTAGGTTTGGATGCCAAAAAAAAAAAAGGTAAGAAAGAGAAAAAAGTGTTTAGAAAAAGCCAAAGAAAGAAAGTTATTAAAAAAAAAAGCGAAAATAAGTTGCAACAAAAGAATAAATTTGAAATAAGGCATTCCATGGTGGTTTGAAGAGCAAGGATTTCTGTCTCAAAAGGTTAAAATCTGCACATTGGTGTTGTTTCATGATTGTACTTTAACTCACTTTTAGTTGATACTTTATTACTCATGCATTTCACTTGTTAGTCTATTCATTCATTTGGCCTTGTTTTTCGACATTACAACCCTTCAAGTCCCCTTGATCATGAACCTAAGGTATGTTAGTGGTGGAGATATTAGAATTTCTATAAGCTTATGGTAGGTGCTAAGCTAGGTGGATTGAGTGAAATTTTTCCCATTTGAGAGATGAGTGAAACACTTGTACCATATGTGAGCTCCATTATGTTTCTCTTCTTTTATCCTGCTATGTTTCTTGTGTTAATTTCTTTGCATTGAAGTATTCTATGATTGTTGATTAATTAAGAATAAAGGTTGCTTGAGTTAATTGTACATTCATGCTTAGTTAGTTTTATGTTTGCTTGCATTGAGTGTCTCTATTGGATTCTTCTTTAATGATGTTTTGCCTATGAGTGCAAAAGGCTAAGTGTGGGGGAGTTGACAAACTCAATTATTTTTATATATTTTGATATCTTTTATATGGGTTTTGTCAACTTAATTAGTCCCTTTTGACCTTAATTGATTAATTAATTGATTTAATATGTTTTATTTTGAATTATTATTTTATAGGGGCAAAATTGTCATATTTTGGTTTAATTGTGACTAATTGATTTTTGAGGACAATTAATGCTACTTTATCTTTGAATTTTTGCTTGTAGGTTTTTGGAAGATTTTGAAAATAAAATAAAATAAAAATAATAAATTAAAAAAAAAGAAAAGAAAAAAATTAATTAAAAAAATAAAAAAAGTAAAAT